ACTGTTCCCTAAAATAAATAAATAAATAAAATAGAAAAAATTATGAATTAAGTAATAGAAATTAGGTTTAAAATTGACTTTTCTTATAGATATGTTTTATATATTTAGGCAACATATTTAAAGAAATATATTTCAAATCTCTTTTTACCACACAAATATTCTTCAGTTAATTGATCATGTTTTATAATCAGAATTTCTAGTTAGCATGAGTGAAATAGTTCTAATCTGGGTAGTTGGATTAATCCTTCCTAACATAAAATGCACAAAGGAGAGTTTTTTTTTAAGATATGCCAACTTTGCCTGAAATGTCAGAGAACTACGGCACATTTTCCTGCATTAAAAGAGAAAAGCACATTTCTTACTTTTGCCTTCATTATAAATTGATTTTGACTCTTGACAAAGTTCTTAGTTTACTTGATTGAGTTTTAAATCTCCTTTAGAATTATATATATTTATAAATTCATTAATCACAATTGTTTTTTTCCTCAATATTGTCTTCTACCTACTCCTATATGACTTTTGTTAAAGAATCTATATATCCTTTTAAATACAAATGAGGAAGAATAAGTTGCTACTTTGTTGCTCAAAGTCTTCTCAAAATCCCACCTATCCCACTGATTTGCTGGTCCAAAATCCCACTTATTCAGGGAAGATCTTTTTCTTACTAGATCTGTACAGAATTTTGTTTAAGTGGGGACCCCCCCAAGTTCAGGTGAGGCTCTACATAATATGATGGAAAGAACATTGAGATTTGGAATGCCAAGTCTGAAGGAGTCATTTAATCACTGAATCTGACATTCCTCCTATATAAAATGGGAAGAATAGTAATTATATGTACTATATTAGCCTATAAAACATAGGACTGTATTTGTATAAGGGTGTTAGAAATCAGTATGAAAAATGACACGACTAAAGGCACCTATAATAACCACAAATGTATAATTGTGGTTACCTGCAAAGCAGAGAACAAACTTTTGAGTGAATTATTGATGAAGCAGAAAAGCTTTAATGTAAAAATTTGTAATGAAAGCTTCAGAGGATAGATAAACAAAATTGGGAAGCACTAGATGACATTGTCTTGAGGTAGTGTCCTTTGGAATTTCTTGACTTTAACATTACTAATAAGTACAGAAGCTCTATACTCTCAATTATACTGCATAACCAATACTTCTTATCTTTATAGGTCACACTTTCTAGCCAACTGCCTGAACTTTAGCAGTTGTGTAGCTTGCTGGGGTTCTTACCCTGTGGGTCCCACCTCCTCTTCACAGCCTCACTTTCCTCTTTACCCAGTCTACCTACGAGGCTCAAACATTATACACAGAAGACCCCATGCCTCTGTCTTTCTGTGTCTTAAAGCTTTCCTGGCAATTCTTAAGTTTAAACACTCCCAATATCCTGCCTCTTTCCCCTAGTAGCTCCCTTTCAATTCATGATTTCTTACATTGCTTTTTAAAAATATTTATCATGTCTAATAATTAGTTCACTTTCTCATTTTTATATATAATTTTTTAATAATTCCTCTCTTTGAGGCTGTGGGGAAAAAGGAACCCTTCTCCACTGCTGGTGGGAGTGTAGACTGGTGCAAC